AATACTTTTTCCTACTAAAAGAAAAGCCATTGGAGAAATGGCTGATGCCAGGTCTGGAGCAAAAAATATAGACATGAACCTGGAATATTTGGACATAGCAGATAGCAAGTAAGCTATCAAATATTTAGAATTATATCAAATGGATCCAGAAGCCAACCTGAATGACCTCCCATAGGCCAAAGATAGAGTAATTTGAATATCCATTAAGGATAATAAGGTCAATGGATTGATACAGCAAATATGTTAAAATGATACTAAAATATTCTAGGCATTGTTCATATTGGCACTTAAAAAGAAAAAAGAAAAAAATTAATTGGTTATCATGGAAGGACGCCAGGAAACCAACTCATTATTTTGAAAACTGGTAACTAAAGGGAAAGACTCATGCATTTATTCTTCCTTTTCTCTATGAACTGTACCACTGAGTAATCTAATAGTAGACAAGGGGAAGTTTCTCTTTAATGAATTATTCTAGCTAATAATTGTAGAAGGGATGGTAGAAGTAGAATGTTATCATTTTGCAATTCCTAAAGAACAATTGGCTCTAGGCATTGAGCATCACAAAATACAGACAATGAAACATTATGTCCTTCCTAAGAATAAATGTACCATAATAATGAAGTAGTTTTGCCAAAAATTTGAACCATAATCATCTCAAGCCTCTAGATCCAATAACTAATTTCCAGGGAATACAGAGGACTCAGGAACAGGTTAATTACACCTGGAGAAAGAATTAACATCCTACTGAGAAAATCATTCTAGACCAAGACATAAATTAGGGTAGAGTTAAGCCACAATTACAAAAAAAAAACCTGTAAGAAAAAAAAGAAAGAGGATGAATCTATAAGTTAAAAAAGACTTAAAAGATATATCAACTAATCATAATATAGAGCCCTTATTTCGCTCCTGATTCAAACACATGTAAATAAACAGAAACATTTGACATATATGAGATGATTGGTAATTTGAACATTGATAGGCTATTTTATGATATATGATATTAAATGATTCTTGTTAGATTTTTGAAAAGTATTTTAAAAGTATTTTTACAAAGTCAATTTCTTTTAGAAATGCATACTGATATAATGATATACCTATAATATCTGGGATTTGCTTCAACATGAGAAGGAGAGAAGTGAAGGTATAGATGAAATAAAATTAGCATGACCTGGTAATTCTTGAAGGAGGGTCATTATATTATACTACTTCTGAATGTTTGAAGTTCTCTCTAATAAAACATTTAAAAATATATGAGGTTTAATGAGCAAGAGTGAGACCCCGTTTCTACAAAAAATAGAAAAATTAGCCGGGCATGGTGGCACATGCCTGTAGTCCCAGCTACTCGGGAGGCTGAGGCAGGAGGATCGCTTGAGCCTAGGAGTTTGAGGTTGCTGTGAGCTAGGCTTGTGCCACTGCACGCCTGGGCAACAGAGGGGGCCCCTGCCTCAAAAAAAAAAAAAAAAAATTAGGTCATTAAATATGAAATGTCTGATTTTGAATCGAAGTGTAGTTTATTATATCTCAAACAAGAAGCAGTACAATTAATCAAGGTATGCGCCTAAACTATCAACACAGTTTTGCCATCTTAATGGTAGCTTGTTTATGCCAGCAGTAAAGAAGCCCGGAGAGCAAGTGGCAATGAAGTCGCAGCATTTTCTGCAGCTTGTTGAGAATTGAATATTTTCCCTTGCAAGAAGTGGTCCAAAGCCTGGAAGAAGTGGTAGTCAGCTGGTGCAAGATCTGGTGAATATGGTGGATGACAGAGAGTTTCCAAGTCCAGAGGCTGTAGTTTGAGCAGTGTTGTTTGTGCAACATGTGGTTGAGTGTTGACTTGCAAGAGGATTGGCCTGTCTCTACTAACCGATCTTGGCTGCTTAATTGCAAGCATCCTCATTATTTCATCCAGTTGGTTGCAGTAGACATCCGCTGTAATCAATTGACCAGGTTTCATGAAGCTGTAGCGGATTGTAACAGTGCGAGACCACCAAACAGACACCATTAGCTTTTTTGGATGAATATTTGGTTTTGGACTGAATATGCATCAATATCCAGCCATTGTGCCGAATGCTTTCGATAATCAAAAAGAATCAGTTTTTCATCACATGTAACAATACAGTGTAGAAATGGTTTGCCTTTATGTCGTGACAGCAAAGAAAGGCAAGCTTCAAGACGATTTCTCTTCTGACGCTCATTTAATTCATGAAGAACCCATCTATCCAGCTTCTTTACCTTGCCCATTTGTTTCAAATGGTCCAATATTGTTGGAATAGTAACATCAAATCTTGCTGCTAATTCACACATAGGTTGATATGGATTCACTTCCGCTACAGCTTCCAGCTCATCTTTTTCCAGCTTGGTGTCATGTTGTCCACGTGGCTCATTTTCAAGATTAAAATCACCAGAATGGAAGTTCTCGAGCCATTGACATACTGTGCATTCTTTAACCACATCTTTCCAAACACTTTATTGATATTTTGAGCATCTGTGGTGCATTGATTCCACGATAGAACTCATATTTGAAAATAACACGAATTTTTGACTTATCCCCACGCTTTCACAAAAATTGCTCTAAAAAAAATTTGAAAGATAATCACAAGCCAAAACACACGTTTGAAAGACTGAGGATGTACCATCACAATAAAAGTAAAAAAGAAGTGTCAAAGTGAAATGTCAGAGATATTAACTGTCACATTTAGTACTTAAGGAAACTGGACATTTCATACTTAATAACCTAATACTATGTATGAGGCTTAAAAAAATCCTTAGTGTTAAAGTCATTGACTTCTCCTTTCATATCCATAATCTGTCAGCAAATTCAAGATATATTTAAAATTGGTTTCAACATGGTGACTATGGTTAACAATAATGTATTGTATACTTGAAAATTGCTGAGTAGTTTGTAAGTGGTCTCACCACAAATAAATATGTGAGGTAATGTATATGTTAATTATCTTGATTTAGCCAATCCACAAAGTATATATATTTCAAAATAGCATGTTGTACATCATAAATATGTATAATTTTAATCAATTAAAATATATAATAACTATTCTCTTCCTCTATCTTTCCATACCATTTTGTTTGTATTTTTCTCTGGCACTTACTTATTCTGCCTTATACCTGAATTATTTGTAGATACAGCTCATATATACCATTAGGGTTTACTTTGTTTGCTTTTGTATTCCCCACAGTATTTAGTCCAGAGTGTGGACTAGATGATAATTATAATAGTTAATATTCATTAAGCACTATTTTGGTGCAAGGCACTGGGCCAAGTAAGCAGTTTAGAGGCATCAATTAATTTCATTCTTGTTGGAACGTGGTAATATAGCTATCACTATTATTCTCATTTTTCAGATGAGGAAACTAAGGATCAAAGAGATAATATATCATAGAGCTAGTAAATGAATGGGCAGGAACTTGAATGAATGTAGGTCTAATTCAAAGGACTATTCTCCACTCCTTATTCAATATACTTACAGAATTGAAATATAATATAAACTCTGCTATCATTGGAAGTTATAAGTGAAAATATAAGTATTTTTCCAGAGTATTAACACTTTTTGCATTACCAATCACAAATTAACATTTTAAGAACAGAATATGAAATGTATGGCATAGAAATAAACAAAAGGATTCCCTTGGATCCGCTAAAAATTATCCTATGAAGTCTTTGCCAAATATAAGAATATAATTTAAGATATATATGATAGAGCTACTAAAGAAAGAAAATGTGTCATTCTTTATAAATAGAAAACTTCCCAAATAAAAACAATGCAAATGGTAGAATAATAAAAACTAGAATGAAAAATCGGATATGGTATACCTTTACTTAGTGACAAATGTTGAGTGACATATACCATGCTGAGAAAGAGTAAGAAACAAGAAAATAAATGTTAAAAGGGGAGGTGGCATAATATGCTGAAATAAAAGAAAAAGAAAAAAAAAGAAACAAAGCTATAATTTCAAATAAAAATATTTCATTGGGTCTAGGAAAAACACACACAAAAAAAGGGGAGGTGGGACAAGTAAGCTTCATTTGAGTTAGAACATTTAAAAGGAGGCCATGAAAGTGTCAGAAATTATAGCTTTTTGATCATAGAAGATAATAAAAAATTATTTGGGAGAGGAAAGAAAACAGGATTTAGTTCCCTCTTTGAAGCCAAAGATCTGAAACTTAGTTAAATTTCAAACAAAACTGAAAATGTAAGAAACTGCAGGAATTGTCACCATTAAAGGGTGGCAGAAAATGTAGCTGAAAATAAAATTTAAGATTTAAAAAAGTCTGTGTTTAGACTTTTCTCCAACAGTAATAATGCATGTTTTTTGTGAAAATGTTTTACTATAACTTAAAAATACGAATTTTGTCATAATTCCACTATCAGAGATTTCTATTGCTAATAATATACTATTTAAATTTTTGCAATATATATGAT